CCGAATTCCAGACATACTGATTTTCTTCACTTCCTTAGATGTATCAAGCTCTCATAACTCTCCCAAGCCTTTGTACCAACTAATCCTGGACTGTTCTCCTTCTTTTTCCCCATCTATGTATCCCCTATCCAACTCTTACTCACCCTTAAGATCTTTCCTGATCTAGGTTAAATCCCTTTACTCTGTGTTCCCACAACAACCTGAACTTTCCTTTTCCTAACACTCTCACCACCCTTGTAATTACCTACTTATTTTTTGTCTCCTTGGCCTTACAAATCTGGATAGATTTTAAGCTCTGTAAGGTCAGGAAACTTGTGTATATTTTTTTCCCCTCTCAATCATTAATACCTGGAAGGGAGCCTGGAATTTAGTAATCCCATAATAAATATTTGTTGGATTAATTTGAAATTAAGTAATACTCAAGTGTTTTACTCCAGTTTTCCCCACACATATGTCTCTTATACAGCTCCCTTGTTAAATGAAAGTCATGCATACAAGAGGAAAAGGCAGGGGAGTCAAAGTGCCATGAAGAACAACTGCTTCAGTCATCCTAGGGTTGGTCATGACAACTGACAAAGTAGGGCAGGCTCAGTGTGAAATGACTGTAGTTTTCTACATTCCAGTGTACTTCATATGTTGTACAGCCTTGAGCACAAACTCAAATTATGTAGGGCAGGGAAAGCAATTGGTAACATACTAAGGCAAAATGGCTTTCTGTTAAAGGCAGAGTAAAAAGCATATTTGTATTAGTCAGCTGAGGCTGCCATAACGATATACCACAGACTGGCTTAAACAACAAAAATTTATTTTCTCACAGTTCTGGAAGCTGGAAGTCCAAGATCAAGATGTGAGCAGAATTGGTTTCTGGTGAGGGCTCTCTTTCTGACATGCAGATGGCTGCCTTCTCACTGTGTCCTCTCATGGCCTTTCCTCTGTGCATGTGCAGAGAGAGAGATCTCTGGGGTCTCTCCCTCTTCTTAGAAGGATACCAGTCCTATCAAATTAGGGTCCACCCTTAAATGACCTCATTTAACCTTAATTGCCTCCTTCAATGCCCTATCTTCAAATACAGTCACCTTGGGAGTTAGGGTTTCAATAATTTTGGAGGGGCACAATACAGGCTATAACAATATTATCCATATCTCATTCTATTCTACGTTCTTAAATTTGAAACTGTACTTTGAAACATACAAATATTCATTTTCTATGGCTGCTTTCATAACAAATAACCACAAACTTGTGGCTTGAAACAGCAGAAATTTATTCTTTCATAGTTCTGGAATCAGAAATCAATAGTACTGGGCTGATATCAAGGTATTGGAAGGGCTAGCTTCTTCTGAAGGCAGTAGGAGAGAATCTGTCCCTTGTCTCTTCCAGCTTTGCTAGCTGCCACCATTGTTTGGTTTGTGGAAGTATCACTCCAATCTTGGTCTCTGCGGTCATGTGGCCTCCTCTCTGTGTCCAATCTCCCTCTGCCTCCCTCTTGTAAGGCCCATCCAGATAATCCAGGATAGTCTTTCCATCTCAAGATCCTTAACCACATCTGCAAAGTCCCTTCTTCCAAATGAGGTAGCATTTACAGGTTCTAGGGATTAGAACCTGGTAGCTTAAGAAGCCATTTTTTCAGCCTACCACAATTCGTGTAGTATTTTAAAATATCCTTCT